CAATGGGCTTTGAGCGAGGACCCCAGGCATAGCAATATTGGCTGTCAGTCCCACTGCAAACAAGTTTGATTAAGATTAAGGAAGGGATCTTACATCGTCTCATTCAGAATGCCAGTCCATAATTCCTTCTAGTTTCCATTTATCCCAACAATTTAGTCGGGTGAAGGCGTTAGAGAATCGTGAGATTAGAGTACCAACCGAAGATAAGAAGTAACTTGAGCAGCAATCTGTCACTGAGTTGGCTAGTGAGTCAGTTTGGTGTAGTTTCATTCAGGTAAGAGTGAGAGATATAAGCAAGGTTACACCTTCAGTGGTACTTACCGAAAAAGGAAGAGAAGAGTTCCGCATTGAGTGTAGCTGACATGAGCACAATTCGGAGGTCCGGACGTTGCGGAGCAATTCGCTTGAGCATAGTAATCAGGAAGTCACCCAGCATCTCTCGCTCGTGGACCTCATCAACGATGATATGGCTGACTCCCTGCAGGAGGAGAAATAGACGAAACGAGAGTTTATTCTTGGAATCCTAGTATGTAAGGGTATTAAGGAAAGGTGAGTGGGTGAGTAAGGAGGGCAGGAATGACTAGAACCCTGCGGGAGGCAAAGTGCCACCAGATGAAAACGGCTTCGATGCTTAGCCAAAAGGTTAATGATTCCAACCTACCGACTGCGAAGGCGCAAAAGTAATCGGCTGTGTGGAAGACAGTTTGAGCAAACAAATGAACGTGGAAAGACTATTTACTAGCATTGCGGCGAAGACCATTGTTATAACCGAGTGCTGCTATGTGCTGCTATCATCGACAGCCGACTACGAGATCTAGTATCAAAATGAGGACTCGTGATGCTGATTACCCTAAGGCATTTCAAAGTGTTACGAAATTCTCAGAGGTCTCTGGGGGATCGACTAGTGCTAAGACCTCAAAGTTGTCCTCGCATGCATCAAATGCACGTACTGTAGTTGGTTGATCCACCATTTCAAGTTTAATTTGAGCTCGATAAGCAATTCACTGCATACATATGCTAAAATACGGGCATGCCAGCATATTTAAAGGAGAAGAGAAGGGAGAAAGCTATTGGTCAGAAAAGTCGGAATACTGAAAAAATGCAACTGACCTTAAGAAGGGGGTCAGAATGGAACCACTGCAGAACGATTCCGGTTGTGCAGAAAAGCAGGGAACCTTGGCGTCGCCGCGGTGGCACACTATCCAGACGAATCTGGTAGCCCACATCTTCTCCCAACTGCTGACCACGTTCAGAGGCCACGCGTTCAGCCACCGAGATGGCGCTGATGCGCCTCGGTTGTGTAACTACAATTCGCGTACAGGAGCCGTCGCCACGAAGGATGGCATCTTCAAGGATATACTGGGGGATCTGGGTGGTCTTGCCGCAGCCTGTCTCGCCACTTATGACCACAACTTGGTTGGCATTTATGGTCTCCACGATCTCCTATTGCGGAGGAGAAGAAGGGAAAGCATTAATTCAAC